TATCTCTCCTAACCTCTGCCCAGTAGGTGTCGTGTTGGCGGCACGCCCTAGGGCCCGGTTGGCTGTGTGTATGTGTGTGTGTGTGTGTGTGTGGGTTTTTATGGGCGAGTGAGTGTCATGAGTGGATGGATGGACTCTCTTCGTCTGCACACACCCCAGAGCCTCATGAGCACATTGCGACGGACAGACTCATCCGGTCGGCTGGTCAGTCAATCTGTCAGTCGGTCATTCAGCTCGTCGCACGCTCCTGCAGCCACTTGCAGACGCGATAGCGCCTCTTCCGACCATTTCATCGCTCGGTGTTCACATTCACTGTGACGTGTTGCCCTCTTTTCCGGCATGTGAATCTTGTGTGGACTTAACCTACCACATTCCCGACTCGCGTCTCTTGTCTCACGGCTCGAGGCCCCGCTGCAAGGCTCGCAGAGTGCAGGACCCGTCCACTCGTCCTCCATTCTGCGTCAATCCTTCGACCTCGAGCTCGAGGCCGAAAGTTGCGAGTACAAGCGGCGCCGTCGCTGGCCGCAGCTGAGCGTTGGAGACAGTGGTTGAAGCGACGCAAGAAGAAAAAGAAGAAGAGGAGGAGAAAGAAGAGGTGGTCTCTTCTTTCCTTTCTGTGACTAGCCGTTTGTCTGTACCAGTCCCGTACATTCGGCTCTCCTCAACTGTCGGCCTCGACCCTTTCCACGCCTTCGATGCCCTCGGTGACATTGCAGCCGAACGGGTTGCGGAGACCGCTTGACTCCTCCACCCCATTGCAGCTCGAAGCAGATATGAATTTGCTCATCTCCGAGATCTTTCTTCCCGCAAGTCTGGTGAGTGCTCCGCCTACCCCACGCACTTAACCGTCCCTCTTTCACTCGACTCTGGTTGGTTGCCTGGCGGCTGACCAGCTGATCGGCTGATCACGAAGCCCAGTTCTCCACCCTCTCACCACCCTTTCGCTTAGCAGCTCTTGACCGTCACCTGCCACACCATTAACCCTGACGCCAGGGTTCTGCAAAGACGCGTTGTCCTCAGCTTGACAACGCGATGCCTTTACTTTTGCCACCTGAGCGAAAGGAAATGTGAATAAGATCGTTTTTAACCAGGTTCACAGGCTTGATTTACTAAAATAGATTCACTCGACCCTCATTTAATTAGAGCATCTACCATTTCCTTCTCACAACCCAATCTGGACATTCGATGTTCATGGAGGCTGAGTGGTCCGGTTGAGATCTGTGTTTGTCCTTAGCGTTTTTTAGGTCGTAACTCTGCTTCCCTCGATTGCACACACAAATACATACACAAACTTATATATATATATATATATATATAAGTTAGGCTAAGCTTAAGTAATAGAGCTAAATACAAATATTGATATATCGAAGTTGTTTGACCTTGTTTTCGCAACTCGTTCATGTTGGTAGGAAGACTTAGAGG